AGAGTATTCCAGCAATTTGAATTTTCAGACATTTCCTTGCAATAAAACCGTGGTTTTAATATTTTACTCTTATTAGATCGCTGCAATCCCACAGTGCAGAGAAGAAGCCAGGCTCTACTCTGACACCCAACATCATGTTTAACCAGCCTGAACCTGCATAGCGCTGCTCATGAGAAATTTAAGACATAATCCAGACCCACAGTTCTTTTATTCAGGGGACCCCCGAACCCTCATCTTCCAGGCAGAGCCCGCACACCCCTGTCACCGCGGCAAAACTCATCTCACAGCAGCAGCCGTAAGTACTGGCAGTCATGACAAAGCTGCCAGGGAAGATGAAGGTGAATGGGGGAGCGATGCCCATTTTCAGAGTATTCTAGCAAAATAACAGGAGCTTAAAATGTTAAGTTAAAAAGAAGCAACTTTAAACAGGTCTCTATCTTTCACTGGGCAAGTATTTACATTTATTTTTATTAAGGAAATGGCTAAAATAATTGCCCAGGATCTAATACCTTCTATTTATTATGTTTTTACTATTCAAGCAAGCTAGAAGGATTCCTACTAGAAAGCTGAATTTGTCCCCTATATTTAGCCTGTATCAGTTGTCAGCATCTATGAACAGATACATTAGTCACATTAAATGAAAACAAAGCGACTGCGCTCTCATAGCCACTAAAAGCATGTGACTGACACTACAGAAGACTCTCATCTTCTATTTAACACCAAGAAACAAAAGCACAGCACACCTCATTCACCAGCACTATGGAAACCTGCTCTTGGAAAGATCCTTTCATACCAACAGGCAATAAACCATTTGACAATCCAACATCAGGATAAGGATAATGGTATTTTCCCCCTTTATCCAGTTCTGAATTATGACTTGTTTAAGCCAAAAACAAGACCAGGAAAAGCATTATCAACACATGCTATACCCTACAGTAAGAGAGGCAGCACACGTTTACATAAAATGTGTTCTCAGCAGAAATGAATAAAGAAAAAAGAAGGTGGTATCATTCATATGAGACAACTTACCACTCGTTTTTCCCGAAAATCTATCCCTACTGTCGTGATGAATTTTGGATTGAATTTGTTATCGGTGTATCTGTACAGGAACGTTGTTTTTCCAACCCCAGAGTCTCCAAGGGCCAGGAGTTTGATCAGATAATCGTAGTCTCCATCAGTCATAGTGCTAATTTTTAGGAACCTACGTAAAGAGGAGAAAAAAAAAACTGATTTCATGATATCAACCCCCCCCCTTTCTGTTTGTTTTTATCTCATTTCTATGTTTGGTCGTTGAAATGCCACTGCCTGTGCTCGGTGCTCAGCGTTGGAAGTTATGTTTGTGTATTCTGAAAAACGCTAATGCGAAGCGGCAGTGAAACTCGCAATTTCAGTTCAGGTGCCAGGAGACAATACAACTCACACTTTCATTTTTCTACATAAATAAAATCAAAGCTTAGAATGACAGAGTTTGGGACAAAAAGATTATTTTTGTTCTGAGTAGAACAATACGGCCTATAATGAACACATATATGAAACCTGGGACTAAATCCTTCTGCTCAAAGTATTTTACTGTGAGTTTGAAGGAAAAGGGTAGTTGCAGGAACAGGCGTGAAATGGAAACTCAGACATAGCAAGGCCCGTTCCCAGGGCTCAAGCTCTAACCAGTATTACATGACATTATCAGGGCTATGTATTTTTACCTTGAAAGAAGTATTTTTCCCCCTAAGAGAACTAATTAAAAAAGCAGAGTAAGCAATTATCCCAGGGCCACCGTTAATAAAATGAGCGAGCTCAAACGCAGTTTACTCTCCAGTATAACCAGATGAACCCACAGCTGCCTTGTTCTGCGAAGCGCACAACCAAACCCAACCCCTCATCAAAGGCCGGGGATACTAATTGGAGTGAAGAAGAAAGAAAAGCGGATGGCAAGCCCGCCGCCTGGGTTCAGCTGCGCGCCTCGGTCACATTGCTGCGATGGCAAGCGGGGGCATCTCCCGCAGCCCAGCGAGCCGGCCCAGAGCCGCCAACGTCCGGAGAAAGCCACCGTCAGCTCACACGCCTCAACAGCACTTGCAGGCTCTTTCCTACACGTAGCGGTGAACAAGAGCACCAAACTCTACCTCATTAAGCACTTGTAAAACAAATATACACATCAAAGCGGCACAAATTTGCAGAAAGAGGAAAATTTTTATCCTACTTACCTGGGCTGCTTCACAGCCCAGGCAGGAGTTCCCGGAGTGACGTGCACGCCGCAGAAATTATTTCCACAGGGTTTTCACGGCCCCGCGCAACAGTTCCTGGTTTTGCCCGATCTGCTGAGTCAAGTGACGTTTGGGAGGGAAAGCCAGACACAAAGGAGGGACAGCTTTTCAGCCTTTTCTTCTGCTTTCATCTTTTCCTGGTTGGCCAACGCAACTGAGCGCCTGTGTTCAGTGTCACTTGGGCTCTCACCTACGGAAACCTTCGTCCTCCACCGAAGCAGAGCATGCTGTCTGCCAGCACAATCTCCTGCAAAAGCTGCACCACGGTCACCCAGCTTGAGCAGAGCAACCCCATAAAATTATTTCCCAGCCTGGCCAAGCCTTCACCCACAGCAGCACCCTGTCTCCCACTGGACTGCTTCCCCAGCAGGTTTTTTATTATTTCCAGTTTAAGGAAACCTAAAGCTCCCATTATTGTATTTATGTTGCTAGTATTTGCTGTGAAGTTCTACAGGGGAAGGAAAGGGGACCTGTGTAAGAAATAGACCTACAACATATTTATTCACATATATGAAATGCCCCAGTGATGAGCAAACTGGAATCATATGAAACACCACCTAGCTGACATCCCCTCTTACCTTGTTCTCAACATAATCTCAGCCTTCTCTATTTTCCAACATCTTGTTAATCCTTAGCGTGGATGAACCGCCGTTCCATTCGGCTCTCTATGCTGAGACTAATTACTGTGGTATCAGAGCAGGAGACCGTGGGCCATATCCCATTCATAAAAACTACTGCTTGTTTGAGTACAAGACCTTAATTTCCATCAGAATAAAATCTACCTTTCTGAGCATTCAAATTAGCAAGTACTGACCTGCTTTGACTAAAATAGCGAACTAAGCCCTTTTGATTATCCTGCATTTCAACAGCTTGAAGGATACAAAAAGCTGGCTGCGTACTGAGCAGTTTCATTGTATGAGATTTATACCTTTGACAGATATAGAGCCACCCAGAGAGGCAGGACAAGCTTTTGAGAAATTAATCTTCTGATGACAAGGGTTTAACGAAGCTAGAGAGAAAAGGCCCCTGATCTGACAGCGTTCACTGCCTTTGGTCTGCGCTGGGCAGGGGAAGGCCAGAGCACCAACACAGCAGCTTCAGAGAAATTAATTCAGTGCTTTTAATCCTTTCCAGAATATCCTAAATTTAGAGCAAGGCTCCACAGAGCAAGAGTAATTTCTCCCGAGAAGTTTGAGGATTATCAAAATCAAAGTATTTCTGATCAATGCAATAACTGTTCTGCAGGCATTTCATTCAATAAATCACAAAAAGAAAGGTATCTGGGAGATGCTTCTCCTCCAAATGCTTGACTGGTAATACAAAGTATTAACTTGGGATTAGACGCTACTCCCAAATATCCGTGTTCTCTGGGAGCTGAAGTTCAGCATCTCCTTGCTGTGCAAATGCACAAAGCAGAATATTCAGACCTGTAAATGTTGAGCAAAATATACATCAGACTAGGATGATTAAAAACCTATTTTTGTCACGAGAAGGCAGCTGGCGTTCCTGTTCCAAGCACTGGCTGCTTTTCCAGAAATTCCTGCCCATTCACAGCCTGGGCTGCACAGGCGTCGCAGCCTCTCCCAGCCCGGCGCTAGCCAAGGCAGTCACCCCTGCCACCACGGCACGGTGGTCTTTTGGCAACGTTACTCCGAATTCACCCTCCTCGTTCTCTGTACTGCACAGGAAAGTAAAATAGTAATTAGTTGGACAATAGGGTTTTACTCCTTCAGATTTTAACCTGAAGCTACCAAACAGTTTTCCTCTCCTGGACCAGCTACGTGATGGAGACGGGAGGAGCATGCTTCACAAAAACCTGGGTGCAGGGAGAGTTTCACAGAGCAGACCGATCCACTGCCATCACACTGCCGTTACCGTCTTAACCACTTCCAAAACGCTGCACTACAGCAAACTAAGTTCCACCAGAAGGTTTAGCATGAAGATTTGAATTTCATTTAGAATGAAACAGTTAAAGTTACTACCGATTACTAATAATTACTGTTAGATAAACATCTAAGCATGCTTCTAAACATGTCTATAATTAGCTAGGTTTGAAAATTCAGAATGTTTCATTTCTTCATGACAAATGTTAACTTAAATAGTACACACAACTGAAGTATAAAAATCATACAGCATATCTGAAACAAAGCAAGGTTCTTCAGTGGAGGAGGTTTGGGGTTCTTAAAGAAAAAAAAAAGATTTCATTTCAAGATAATTTCTTCTAGCAAAAAATCTCAAAAAACACTTCATAATTTTCTATTAAGGTTATTAACAAGGCATTTTATTAAAAGTGCAATATACTTCATTCAACTCTTCATTTTAAATGGCTCAATATATCGAGTTACTGAAAAGAAACCCCCCTGGGCTGTAATGTGAAATTCTTATATTGTAAAAACAAAGGAACTCAACTTGTGACTTTCCATGACGACAGTGAAAAAACACCCCTGTGCCTGGAACCTCAACTTTCAAGCCCTCACCATCCCGAGAGCATCTAAACGGACTCGAAGTTGCAACACCAGTGATGGCAACTCGTTTTGCCGTGACTGTACCTCCACCCCAGACCACCTGCAGCCAGAACCAGCAAGGTCTCCCACGCCGGCTGTCCTTCAGGGCTCAGTCATCCTGCAAGCGCCCACACAGACCAAAACCAACTTTCCACTCAACCAACGCAATCTCACCCTCCAATTCTGAAGCCCGTGCCGTCTCTCTAATACCACAAAAACCCAAACAGGCCTCCTGACCATCCCTCCCAACCCTCTCTGCCAACGTGGCCAACAGCCAGGGGATGAGAAATGTGACGTTCTGATGCTGCTCTTCCAGGCTGTGCATCTAGACGGAGTCCGATTTAAAAAACGCTTTTCAGCTTTCTTGGCAGACAAGATTCTCATCTAGATCAGAAGCAGCATCTTGTTTTTTGATTGATTATCTTGTTCCACTTCTATTTAATGTTCTCTAACTACAGTGTGAGAGATCATTTAAAATCTGGCACTTGTCAGCAGACACTCCAGAGAACATTTTCTCGATAGAGAGATACGGCTTCACGTAAACCAATCAAACCTTAAGGCATTCAGTTATAGCCTACAGGGAGAGGAAAATCGACTCTTGGGGCACCGTGCTTTTGCTCTGTGGCTCCGTACGCGAGGCTGAGAGGAAACGTAGCGGCACATCCCACCGCACCTGGCTTGGCGTGCCCAGAGGAGCCTCCCAAAAGCAGCACTCCAAAGGTGGGACTATGGAAGAAGGAGGGCTCCAGCCCTTTGCACATCCATCAATAACCCCTCGGCACCAGTCAGCAGCAACATTGAACTCCACAAGACCCATCGCAGTGAACAGAAAGGGATGCAGAGGAGAAAAGTTCTAAGTCCGGTCATCATCTTCCGTTAGTAGCACGTGTCTTAAAAGCTGGAAGAAAGGTAACTCATTGAAATCTAAACTGCTTTTGAAAAAAAATAAATTACTTTTGGCTGGGAGCAAACTCTGCACAACAACGGTTTCAACTCAGAAAGTGTTTTTCATCTCAAGATGTTTATATGTACAGCAAAACCAAATTAAGCAGGCTAAAATTCTGATGAACCTAACCTAAACCCACTGCCTGTTAGTCATACTTTTAGCCCCTCAGAATTGGAAAATATTAAAAAATTTTAAAACATCTACATTTCAAACTTTGCAGATTTTTAAATTTTAAAAGACTGCCCTAATCAAATAGACTACCCACTAGATTTTCTGATAACATATTTTCTCATTAATACAGAGAGTTGTTGAAAGGAGTTCAACAATTACGCAGAGAGTTAATGGGAATATCATCAAGGAAAAGTTATGCGCGCAATGGGAGAAAAGTTAGTTCCAGAAAGTAAGATTATATTTCCCTTGACAAACTACTAGTTAAAAGTCAAACAAACAAAACATGTTGCATAAATAGCA